AATAAGCGCAACATATGCTGGCTAAAGTCCATCAAAAAGTGCATGACCAATATTGAAATGCCAAGGTTGACCAAAATGAAGAGTAACAGATGGAATTATTCTTGGATCAATAATAGTGCGAACAAATGTTTCAAGATCAGAATATGAATCAAAAACACGTTTGTTTGGTGTTGTAGGCCATAGTACAAAGGCATCTGTTCGTACAGAATATGAAGGTAAATATTGTCCTTTTACAGTTAAAATCATAAATGCACTATCAACATAATATAAATTATGATACAAACAAGATTGATTATATAATGAACCAATACATTGAATAGTTGTTTCTAACGTTTTATTTTGATGAATAAATTTCGAATCTGTGAAATTCAAAGTATGTTTAGTGATTTCTAAAAGTAAATATTTTTTTGAAGTTGTAGCTATCGAATTATTTTGAATATTAGTAGCGTTTATGTAGTGTTGTTCATTACTTCGAGTCTTCATAACATTTAATGCAGTCGACATTAGAGATCTGATGTTCTCTTTTTCTGGAATTAAATTTTTCCGAATAATAATGATTAGAATTGTGAGACCAACAATAGATAGGAAATAAAATAGTGAAGAGATGAATTTTGTTTTTTCACTTTGTTTAAACATAATTAGCAATAATCTGAAATATATGTATATATTTGTGTATAGAATAAACTGCGAAATCAACAATAACTGTTCAACGAAGTTTTCAAAAGTCCTTTAAATATCGTTTCTGGTTGTACAGACGATGACCGATTCAAGACGAGCTTGTAGAAACAGAACTCTATTTTTAGACTTAAATTCATTTCAATGCGCATAGGTGAGATGTAGAGAAGGCCTATCCACCCATCCGCTTTCATATTCTCCCTAACACATCCACACCCACACCGACACTCCCACATCCATATTATTACCTCACTTATTCTGAAGTATGTAAATGCCCAAAAGAATCGAAACGATCGTAAGGGCTGTCAGATTTTGGAAAGCTTTTCAATTTAAATCTAGTGATGAATATTACACATAAAGCACCTCAGAAAAAAAATAGTTTCAGTCGGTATTTCTCATATATTGTCACTATAAAAACACATTTTTTTAAAAACTAACTGCATATTCTGAAAGCCCGTGAAGTTTTCTATCATCCTCTGTATATATATATATATACATTCATTTGCACTTATGTATTACCAAAATAATTGACTACAATGAAGACACCCTTATGTGCATGCTTCCATAGACTTGACTTTTTCTTTGTTATCAAAACTAGTTTTGTAAATTTTTCATCACTATAGAATGACCTTTTTGAAAAAGCTATAATAGATTCTGATAGAGCTTGAAATTCTCTATCACCCTATCTATTTACTTCTTTTCTTCCATTCATATATTGAAAAACA